GAACACTGCATTGCTTTATACTGAAACTTTTCAGTGGGTGAACAGTCAGTAGAAATCCTGTAGTCTTTTAACAGTTAATGCTATCTGAAGCAGAAGATTCCTCAAAATAATTTTGAATATTATCAGTCTAATCCTTTTTAATATCATGCACTGCATTAGCAAAAAAAAAACCCTACTATTCCTTTATGCCAGGTAAAGGAAAAAAATAATTTTCAAATACCAAAGGGTTTTTTTAATTACCACAGACATTTCAAATGGAGACTCAAACCTTTCCATTCCCACATGTAAGCTACTATCTGCTTCAGTTTATGAAATGATCGCATTGTTCAGTGAGTCGTATTGATTGACGGTCCTCTCACTGTGCACGGACTTTCAGCGTGAGAAGACATTTCATTTCAGTTAGGCAAATGATTTCTTTATAAGCAAGTAAAACCTTCTTTTCCAAAGTGAATTTTAAATTGAAAATGTCCCAAGCAATGCTGAGCAGCTTCCATTTAGCTGTTTTCCCTGTTTTTAAAAATAAGCATCGCAGGAGCCTAATTGTTTGATTAAGAACAATAAATGCAAACTGATTTCTGCTTGAAACTACCCTGTAGCCGAACTGTAAACATCTGCCTTTGTTTGGTCTTTGCACTGCAGTTGTTAGTGCAACAGTGTTATTAGAATGTATTTGCGTATTAAAGAGGTGGGTTAGAGTCATAGTCCAAGGGAAATTATGTCTTGAAATTGACTTAAGAGCAGGGCTTTGTTTTCTTGCTGAAACAAGCTGTTCAGCTACTGTTGCAGGAGGCTGGAGACCATTGTGGTGGATGTTCAATCCATTATTCATGACTTTAGCTGAGCAGAGTTATGGTAGGAGGGGGAAACCATTTTTCACCACTCAAAGAAAGCCCAGTGTTCAGACAAGAGTTGCCACAACTGAAAGGCATGGAGGAACTAAAAAAAGGGTAACACAGTGCTTTGTGGAGTAAATGCCAGGTACAAATCAAATGATTAATATGGCAGTGAAAGGAAGCCAGCGCAAAATACAATAAATAATTTTTCATCTGGTGAATTTTACCCTTTCAACCAGTGGAATGGCCATAAACAAAATGCAGCTTCTTTGAAGCAGGCTGCAGAGTCTTCATGTTTATTCAGAGATAATAAGACATTCTAGAGAAGAAAAAAAATCACTCTTTCAAAGGACAGAATACATTTTATTGCAGTGTTTGATACCAGATGTTCTAAAATATAGCTGTATTTCCTAGCAGATTCTGATTGTTCAGTGACAGGGTATCATTTCTGCACTTACTGGGTGTGTAGCACCTAAGGCAAAAGTACTCATCTCTGCATTTTACATTTGGGTACTCTGATTATTTTCATGCACAACCTTTAAAAACGCACAAATTTGTTTGTATGTATAAAAACTCCACCAAATTTCAGTTCCTCGAATTTTATGGAAAAAGAATCACTGATTTGAGTTAACTTAAAAGGTTCGATTTGTCACCAGAGAATTAGAATAAAAGCAGGTATGGCAGGAAAGATGAGACCGTGTCTTCAGAAGAAAGTCTTCCATAAGATAGATGTAGTAGTAGATGAGAAGAATTCATACTGAGCAATAATTTCTTCTAGGCCATTCTTAATCTGCTTATCCATTTTTCTTACCTATTGTGCCCATAAGAGGTATGAAGCAGCTCTATTACTGTGAATTAATTTCTGGGTTAAGTGTGAACCAATCAGATACAGCGATGTTCAAGTTAGGCAAGTCACTTTACCACCTGCTTTGAATCAAATCTTCAGTGTGGATCCATTTTGGACACGTCAGAATTTCGTTCTGTATCTTGGATATTCTATTTTAAGATGGTTTTAGAGTCTGTACTCCTTCTGTGCAACTTTCATAATTCCCCTTGAGAGCTTTTCAGCTGGGTGGCTTTCACAGCAGCTCCAGCCGTGCACTGAAAATTTGCACATCCTTTTCTTCTGCCCTAATTTAAGATTTTGTTTTCCCAAAAAGGAAATAGTGGATGTTTTCTACACTGTGGTTTTTCTTTATTTTAAAAAATAAATAAAAAGAGGAGGAAGAAGGAAAAAAAAGAAAAAAAAATAGGCACGACATAGAAAGTTGCATATCTTAGTGTGCACTGTGCCTCCAATTTAAAGTTGTGGGAAGATGAAAGACAAGCTGGGGCTGACTGTACTTCTTCCCACCAAGATTAGGGGCAGCAAGAATAATTTACTTTGATGAATTGTGCTCTTTCTTGCTATGCAATGTTTCCTAAAGGTTGACCATATAATGACTTAAAAGACCCTTTATGATGTAAATCTGGATATCTCAGCCCTAACTGAAGTCTGTAAACTATTCATACAATGAGATGGATTTACAAAGACTGGGAGCAAAGTGTTTTCGTGTTTTCATAGAACCGGAGACTCTTCATATAAGCACAGGGAAATAACCACACAGTACCTGTTGTGCACTTGCAAATTGAATATAGATCATATATTTTTAAATGTGGGAGGATAAAAGTACATCTTCGGAAGTAGCCTCTGAGGATTCAGTTAGATGTGTATTGCATGTCGAAAGTAATATAAAAGGCAGTGGAAGTTCCTATCAATCTGCTTTATTGTACACAAGCAATGATCAGCTGTAAAGTGTAAAAAAGTAGTTGTTTTTAGCCTGTGTGGTCTAAGGCATTGTACAATGGCAGCAGGTGAGCAGCATAAAATGTTCTTCAGTCTTCCTTGCAATTGTACACAAATACTGGAGAGCATCTTTCTACCCTGCCTCCCCAGGCCTTACTGTGATCTATCCATTTTGAAAAAAGGCTGCAAAGAATGATTTTGTGGAATCTAATGTTCATGGTTGTTGCATACAATTCAATTCAGAGACAAATAGAGGTTTGAATTAGCTATGGTAAAATAGAGAAATCATACCAATAAAACCAAGCCATACCTCATGGTAATCATAGTAAAACAATCAGTGGAAATGTGGAATGTATGACCCAGAAAGTAGCTTGAAAAGCCTTCAACTTGCCAAGAGATTCAGGAAGGTGTTGGTGGAATGAGCTGTGGTGATGACCCCCAAACTGATGATGCTGACTATCCTTGTGTGGTAAAGACAGCGGATCAATTAGCTTGTTCTGGAGAGATACCAGGTGAGACAAGATGGCTTAGCAGAAGGACTTGGTTCCATCTGTCCGAGATGACAGGGGTGGAAGTAGGCATGGAAAAGTGATAATTGGGTTTCATTGGAAAACTTTTGGTTGTTGTGGAGCTGCAGATGAAGTGCAAGTGTTTCTGTGATGCTTTGATGGAGTAGCATTAGCCTGTAGTTCCTACTGTAGTGTGTTTCTGTGTCTTGTAGTGAGTTTGTGTCTGTTACTGTGGTGTCAGTATGTTGTGTGGTGGCCCTCACATTCAGGGCATTTTCTATTCCTCCTGTAGCACACCCATTACTGAGAAAAAGGAGACAAAGAATGGAAGTCAGCAGGATATCAACTTCTGTGTTAATTTTGTAGCAGTGTTTTTTTCCAAAACAAAACAAAACCACAGTTGTGCTACAGGCTGAACCCTGCTGATTATATGGAGCATACAAGCATCCACCAATGCACTGTCAGGTGCCTGAGCTGCATATACAAATATCACTTGAAACATTTTTATGTATTCTTCATTTATTATCCAGACATTTAGCAGTAATCCATTAGGCCCTTAAGCAGCCTTATCTCCCTTGATTTGAGCAGTACTAATCCCACTGCTCCTAATAGACATGACATTATGTGAAATGATAGGCCATGAAGAGCCCTCAGGTTGCGCTGGAAGTAGAATGTTGTGCAGCTCTGCAGTCATGCATTAACTGCTTTTCAACACATTTACCACTTATAAAAATATATCATACTTAAACAGGCAAAGCAATTGTAAAAGGATTTACACTCTTAAGTGTGCATGTAATAGTATATTTGCCTTTATGATGCATTTAATCTCTTCCTAGTAATTTCAGAAGCTATCACAGAATCCTAGTGCCCAGGTTTCCTGGAACTTGGCTTTGCATGGGCTGCATGCTTTTAAAAAAAACTGCACTGGTTTATCATTTTCATGTTCTAATTTTGCAGACAAAAGATATTCCCAGTGTATATGTAACTGTGTAATCCCAATTAGCATTAGTCTAAATTGCAACATATGATCTTGTAGCAAATTGCTGTTCATTGGAAAACACAAATGTGAAGTGAATAGTGAAAAAGTCAAACCTTATCTTCCTGGTAAAAGCTTTTGCTGCTCTGATTCAGTTTCTAATTTCAGGAGTCTAAAGACAAATTTCCTTTCTAGTTGCCAAAATATGAGGTCCTATGACTGTAGAGAGAGTTATGCTACGATCAGTTATACTTCATGTATATTTTAAATTAACAACATATGAATTTTTACAAGAATTGTGCTGTTTTCATTTCTTGAGGCAAACTACAAGATATTTTTACATGATTATTACCCATGGGAAGCAGTTGCCATGTGTAACTGTTTTTGCCAGATACATTCTGCACAATTCTGACTGATTTTGAATTCACGGGAAGAGGGAACACACATTTTTAAAATTACACCTAGATTAACTAGGTACGCTGGTTCTTGTTTACCACGTACCTAAAAAGTGGGTGAGACAGTTAATGTGTCAGCTCGCTCTTGGTCACCTTCTGATGCCTTTTGGAGTGCTGAAAGTGTCCATTCTTCACATACAACACAGACGTGCACAAGTCAATGAGGGTATCAGAATCGTAGAATGGTTTGGGTTGGAAGTGTGCTCGGAGATCATCCAGTTCCAGCTCCCTGCCCTGGGTGAGGTTACCAACCACTAGATCAGGCACTACATCAGTATCAATTATCCAGTGGAGAAGGAACTTTGAAGCCTAAGGGGATCTCTTCTCTGAGTGTGTCTTTACTCAGAGAAGGAGGTGTTTGGTGGCAGTGTTTTCTGTGCTGGCACTGCTGATGTGTGCAGAGAGCCTGGCTGAGCAGCACGCCGATGCAGGCAAAGCATCCAAAGCAAGAGAGACAAAATGGAGGACACAGAAAGTGCTGATCAGGAATCTAAGCACCTCAAGATTAATTGGTGCAGCATAAATAGCAAGGTCTGTGACTGCACCTTCTTGGGTCTTTATTTTTGAATTAAGTAACTGTCAAGAGCAAATTGGATGGGGTGCCAAATTTATATTCAAAGTAAAATTGAAATTATTAAGATTAAAAAAGCGTTTGACCTAAAGGAGAGATCCTTAAGCGTAACGGTCAGATCTCAGGCTCACCTAATTTGTCACCGTGACATTTGTGGAGCAATTATTTTGAGTAGAAATTGCAGAATTAAGTCAACTTGTGCAGAGAGCTGCTCTGTGTCTGATGAAAGGAACTTTATATGCTCAATTGCTTTAATAAATGCTATCCCATTAACTGTCTAATCAGAAGTATTGCAAATGAATAAATAATAAGGTGCAAAATGTGCACATTAGATACATCTGCAGAGATGTTAAAATTCAATAGCTCTAATTATCATAGTAATATATGCTACCAAATGTGGAATCCTGCAAATAGGAACTGGTCTGGCAGATGACATTCGTGGTGAGCTGTTTCACTTCCTTGTGCTGTCCTGGAGCAGAGGACGCTCCAGCATCACAGCTTTAGCCTTCATAAGAAGCCACACACAAGACATTCCCACACACTTAGGACATTGCTCCTTATTTGCACACTGTGCTTTGGTTTTAACTGTTGATAAGCATGAGTTGTACAGATGTCTGTCCTGCGGTTCTTTTCTTTTTCCCTTTTTTTCCACAACCGAAACCCATTTTCTGCTAAGCCCATCCCTTTGTCCTGCTGATCAGCTGAGGGATTCCCATGTTTTACCTGTACAGAATGTATCGATACAGGAGCTTCAGGCTCAGCTTGAGCAGGAGACAAGACTTCACCAGGAGGAGCAAGAAAAGTTTACAGAAAAGATCATTCAGGTAAATACGAAACCCGACTGCTGGGAGACGTGTGGCCATGACGCGTGGCGTGGACCATGCTGTCCTGGTGGAGCCTTGTTGAGCTCCCTGGGAAAGCTTGGAGGCTGGGGAAATGCAAGCACAAAAAACCAGTTTTGCTAATTTGAATCTGTTTTCTCCAATTGTTGGAGAGGAGTTTTGTCTTCCTGTGTGTAGGCTGTGTTAGAAAGAGTCCATGGCACTGGACAAAATTGAGCTATAAGGGGTACCCTGCCAGATGGCCACCTCAACGGAGGAATGGAAGTTGAGGCAGGGATATGGAATAGTGCAGAGGAGATTATATCAGCCCTGTCAACTCTCTGTGAGGATAGGAAGGGTACATTTGATCTCTGGGTGCATGTTGTGTTCTGTGCCTTATTCAGACCCCTCTTAGTCCAAAGAAAACCCAGCTTTTCTCTGAAGCTGGAGGAGTTGTACTTTAGAATCTGAAACACAAAACAGGATCTTTTGTATCCCTCAGTGCCTCATGTTTCTAACCTCTTATTTGTAATTGGTGAACAAATCATATTTTGTTATATGGGTTTCCCTGCTTTTTTGAAGGCTGGAACATATGAGCTTAACCCTTTTGTGATCTCTGGCTCCTAAAGCAAAACAAACAACTGTTACTCATTTTTGCAGGCCGTTTGGCTCTTAAAAGAGGTTTTCTTTTTAAATTTACTCTCAGACTAAATTCAGCACAACTACTGCATAACGTTAAGTATTTATCCTTGTGCCAGCTAATCTCATTATGACCACGTGGTATCACTCATTTTTCATAAGTAGCTTTAATTTTCGGTTGATCTCAATAGGAGCTTCCTCATGGAGGCTTTGCTTTTGAAGAAAACCCATAAATTGATTTCTTTCCTAGTTGCCTTGGCCATGAATGCTTTTTGGATGTTATGTCCGCCTCAAAGTTATTTTCTTTTGCAGTAGGTATCCATTGAAAAAGCACAAAAATATTCTGCTATCTCCACCAGGACGTTCTGCAAGAATCTGTGACTACATGGATTTAGATTGTAACGGCTATTAAAGCAATGAGAAATGCAGCAAAATCGATGCTAACCATTCATGCTTTCAGCTAGTAGAAACAGAATAATAAAACTACCTCCTGGATTCTTTATTTTTTTTCCAGATTATGGCCATCCTGTTGATATTATTCCTTTTTTTTTATCGTCTTCCAGGACTTCTGGTGGAAATGACTCATAGATCTTTGCTGTATTTAGCCATAGCTTCATTTGGTGGAAGAATTTGCATCATCACAAAGTCTGTTCATTTATTCCCTTAAAATTTAAATATAAAAGAGAGAACTCCTTTTTTACTCTCATTTTTTTTGCAATATTTAATGACATCATGTTTGTGTGTGGTAGCACTGTATAATCCTGTGAGTGTCATCAGGAGATGCATGTATGTTTTTGGGGCCATTATATCTGATATTGCTTCAGACTACTTTTAAGATGCATTTTAAACCCATATGATTTAGTAACCGCTGTGAATAATTTAATCAGGAATATTTTACAAGCCATACAGTTCCTTAAAGAATTATTTATTTATCAATTTTTATTATAAAAAGGTTCCAAATCATTTAGATCAATGTTATGGATGTATTAATGCATAGTTGCACAGATGTTGTAAATTTGTGTTATGTCAGAGCGCATCGTTTAAAGGGCAGGAGAGTCCTTAGTAAACAGTCTAGTATGAAACAGTAGCATCTGAAGGTTGCCATGAAAACCAAGCATATATTTGTTAGCAGTACTAAGTGGTAGGGGTTGCAGAAGAAGAATCCATAAGCATTCTTTATCCTCGTGTGTTTCTTTCAGGATATGTTCCTTAAATCATTATGGTCGTTAGTTTACTTTGGCTTTCCTCATCTATGGAGCTGGTCAGGCAAGGGAAAAGCTCCTCTCCAAAATGGAAACTTGTAGAAACTGACATCTGTAGATGGTAGCTCTGTACTCCTTCTCTAACTGACCTTTCTTGATGAATCAGAACTACAGCTTGGTTGAAGGGGAAAGGCCATCTCTTCCACGTAGAAGAAGGGATCCTGTACAACAAACTTATACAAGTGTTATGGGGCCAGTGTCGTGTAGTGGTTTGATTTTGACATATTGAGGGGGAAGTCACATTTAAAGAATATTGTTTCAGATTGGCTTGTGTTGAAAGGAACGTAATGATATGTTAGCTTCAAACAGTGATCGTTTCTGGTGCTTCTGGTACTGAAACTGAGACATATTGAAGGCCAAGTTGCAGCCTATTTCTGTCTCTTCTGTTTCTGCCTGTGTCCCTGACCTAGAAGTATTTGTTTTCTAGGTTCAGAGATGTCTGAGTATGATGCAGGTCTATGGGGAGCACTGCCCTTATAGAAGGAGAAGGAGCTGTATTCACAGAGGAAGGGATGAGTGTGTAGCCGAGGAGATTAGGATCATATTTCAGGTTGTCTGAAGGGCAATTGCAGTCCCAGAAATAGTTTCAAATACATTTAGCAGATGTGATGTATGTAGCACTTAGAGTGGTGCCTGTTCCCGGAATGTACTGCAGGGATACAATCAAGAGAGGGAAGAAAGTTTGATGAGTATAAAACATTTAAACTTGCATCCTTAGAGTAAACAAACTGTCCAATTCCATGGCACTTTACTAAGATATGGTTATTAAGCTAAGTTTATTGGCTGCTGGCCCCTAACTTCATCAACATGACAGTTATAACTGCTAAGGAATTTGTTGAGCCAAACTGAATAACTATTCATTACTGATGAAAATTAGATATTTCAATTTGTGTCAGCCAACAAAATCCTGGAGACCACCAGCACACCAGCACTTTGACACGGTGTCTGTTGTTCCATTAAAGCTGGAAGAGGAGCATATGCAGACCCTGAGGAGGAAAGATTTGGAAGTGCAGAGCTTGACTTTGCAGAACAAACTGGAAGAAAAGACTTGGAGCCAGGAGAAGAGTTTGCTGCAGCAAGAACTCAGACATTTCAAGCAGGACACTTTCCTCGTATATGTCAAACTGAAGTGGCTGCTGAAACATTGGCGGCAAGGCAAGCGAATGGACGATGATGCGGAGGACATATTAGAGGTAACTGGCCCACCACCACTAAGCCAATGAAATTGCATTGGATGTTCTTTCTTTAACTGTAGATTTTAAATATGATGTAGCATCACCAACTGTAAGTGAACTCAGATTTTAAGAGGATTCGAATAAAACACAAAGCTTTTTCTTATTATTGGTTTGCGCTAAAGGATATTTTGTATTCTGTCTTCATGTTACATGTAGCTTATCTTTAAATCTAAACCCTTAACTAGTACAAGCATTTGGCCTTAAAAAGATCTCCCATAGTAAATGAAGATTTAATTAAGTCTCTAAGATAATAACCCTGAATAGTTTTTGGAAAGAAAAATATCTTAATGAGCTGATGGAGTCAAATCTGTTTAGATGGGTTGAGTGCTTTTGTCATTGTGTGCAATGTGTTCCTTATAAAGCCTTCAGTAATACAGATGGAGGGAAGCTCTGTTTTCATGTTGGCAAGAGAATTATACAGTCTTGTGGGAACTCACAGTGAATCATTCTTGTTTTTTCCTTTTCTTCATACACACGTCTATCACCGTCAGGAGGAGTACACCAGTAGTCATCAAAGTAATTTTCCAAGTAGCAACTAAATTAAGATAAGGAATTTCAAGAGCACATTAACAACCCGGAATCCCAAAGCTGACACGTCTTAGCAGGGATGTGATGGCAGAAAGTGCTTTTCTAAAGGCGCTGCTATATCGCGTCAAGCTGCATGCCCAGAATTACAGTTTGCTTCAGATATCCCACGTAAAGGAAACGTAACAAGAAAAATGCACTTACGCATTCTGACATTTTAACCAGAATTCTGGGGATCATAGAATTATCCTGCAGGATCATGCAGTTCTGAAACATTTTGCTAAGGCAGCTAAGTAATTTTTTCAGTATTTCAGATATTTATACACCAAGTGTCTTTCAGTCTTTTGCTACGTTTGGCAGAACAAGTAAACTTTCAGGTGTAGTAGAAGTAACTCCACTGTTATGTATTCTGTATAAAGGGTGCTGTGGTATAATGAGTCAGAAACAAGGGCTGAGTATCTGTTTAGAAATAATTCCATTCTACTTTATTTCAGCAGTACTAATTTGCTTGTGTGTGAAAATAGCTCATCTTCTAGTATCAGAAGAGCTTTCATTTTTTTATTGTTTGGATTTTTGACTGGGTAATTTACAATCAATCCATCTCCAGTCATTACTGGTAGCAGATGATTTGCTAACACAGTAGAGAATACGAAGTGCTAGATTAGGATATTAGGATACTCCCTGATCTCTACATTTTCATTATACCACCAGTGTCCTGTGTGGCTTTTCATTGATGCACGGCAGACTATATCCACCATACTGCACTTCTCTCTACCTAAGTAACTGGCAAAGAGAGTGTTGCTGTGTCTCGTCTCTTGCATTTCAGATCGAGCATCTTGAAGCCCTCCCAGAATTTGGCATTCAGTCTGAGCAGAAGGCGGATGATACGGAGCGAGAGGAGGAGGAAGAGGATGTTGTGTTTGCACTGACAGATTTCTCCCAGCGTCCCACTGCAGAGAGTGCAGATCACGGACCACAGCTGCAGACTGCAGAGTTACTGCAGCAGCAGAAGCAGGTACCATACCATCTGTATAGTGTGTCCTAGGAATGGAAACTGTGGATGTTCCAAGGGAATTCATTTTTTTATGCTGCTGTGTTAAGTCACCTAAAATCACACTTGTAAAAATCCTGCTAGCTGCACAGCAATTACAATGGACTTTGTCCATTATATTTATATTTAATCAGGAGTCGTGTGATTACTGTTCTCCTGTTGGCAGATGCTATCAGTGAAAAATCCTATTTCCTCCTATGGCTGTTTGCCCAGAAACATCTATCAGTGTGTGATGGTTTGCAGAATTCACATGCTCGTCTTTCTGAGCAGATCTATTCTATTCTACTGTCAAGCTTTTAGTGAGTAGAGGTGATTTTATTTCCTTTAAATTATTTAAGAAACTAGTACGTATATTTAACGTTTTCCTCAGAGATGATGAGAAAGCAATGCAAAAGTTCCTTCCTGTCACTGGACTTGTTTTTAGATACCTAAAAGCAAATCATGCTGACTTTTCCTTGACATCTCCGGTGCCCTGCCTACGTGTGCCACATATGCCAGCTTTTTGCATTGAGTATGCCAGCAGTCCTACCAATAGCAGTACACATACAAAGGGGACAAAGTTAAGGCTTCTATCTGTTCTTCATATACACTTTATATTTTTGCAGTCAGAAGGCAAATGGAACAAGAACTCTGTGCAAAACACAAATCTAATGAAAATAGTTTTGAAGGTTTATTCCTTATGCTCAGTGTCTGCCCAGCCCCTGACTTGGGAGCCCACTCCACAGCAAGACCATTCAGACACTTGTGTCCCTGTGACTGTCTTGCTTTGCTGGTCTCACTACAGGCTCTGGGGATGGTGTCTTTTCATTTCAGTTCTCTGTCTTGAATTCTCCAGACTCTCAGGATGACATACAATCTGTTTACTTATTGTCTATGGTCTAATAGATACACAGCAAGGAGTAAATTTCTGTCTTTTAGTAAAGTTAGACTGGTGCTTTGGAGATGCATAAAGCTGTATTGCAACCAACCTCACTAATCTGAGGTGTAACTTCATGTACAATTTCTGTTTTTACACTAGAGAACAAAAAAACACATTTTATGCCACTTCATATTCTGTTTTGTATTTATATACTCTTTTACTTTCCCTTTTAATAGTTCTAGCTGACAGCTCCACTCTCTGGCTAAGATTTTCTGTGATGTGTGCTACCAAGGTAATAATAAATTGATCAGTTTGGCATCTGGAATGGACCTAGTGTTACTAATCTTATAGGAGGTCAGACATGGCTGTTTTTGAGGACATAACTTGCCAGCCACCCAGACCCATCCTTTTGGCACCCTCTTCTCTGGCAGAGGTTGAAGAAGGCTCCTGAGTAGGTTATTTAACTGCATTATACCTGTAGACTGACATGATCTAAAATGACTAGAATAAATCTACGCCCTCTTACTATCTCAATACAGCTTCTGTTGTATACAACTGTCCATAGATACATCTTAAAATGACCAAGAGCATACAAATAAATTATGTCCTCTTTGAAATGATCATTGCTTTAACATTAATCTCAACTGAAGTGGTCTAAACGGAAAGCAGAATTTCATAATTCATTTTAATAAACTTTTCAAGATGTTCTAATGCGGCAGTTCCAGCTATCTTGCTTAAAAAAATGAGCCATAGGAGCAGACCAAATCTCACTACTCTTCCTGATATTGAACAGTGCATGATATCCAAATGGACCTCTGAAAGTAAAATAGATTTCTTGGCTTTCTGCCAAGAGAAAAAGTGGTATTTCAGCAATGTGAGGTGAGGGGACTGCTAAATATTTCCCATTTCAAGCACTGTTACATGTTTTGCTCACTCTCTCTACATTATAGAGTGCTAAATCTTCAAAGCAAATACTATTTACTGTCCATCAGCATGTGAAGAAGGGCTTTGGGGGCTTGTATTTGTCAGTGGCAAGAAGAGATTATAATTATACTCTGGCACAGAAATAACAAGTCTTAGCATAGGTTAATTCTGATTCAAGCATTGGAAATGCCTTCTGGAAGATGGTGGCAGAAGAGTAATTGAGCATGCACCTCCCATGCCCTCGAGGCTCACCTCAAGCACCTCAGTACCATTTGGACTTGAATTGTCTGTCCTGCTGTGGTGGATTGTTTGGCCCTGCAAACCTCCTTCCCCTCACTCAGCAACCTCAAAAACCTGGACTTTGCTCTACACCATTACAGGCTTTCTCCTATAACTGGCAGCTCCACTTAATTCACATGTGACCCCAAAATGCAAGCTTGTTAATGCATCCATTAACTAAACAAAACTAGAGCGAGAAACCACTTCACCTGTGTAATCTAATGTCCAAAAGCTCTAAGAGTATCAGCTGACCCACAGCACATCCTTTCTGAAGGGCAAACTCAGCAGTACTCACTTCCCAGTACAACACTGTCTGGTCAGACTGCACTAAAAAAACCACCCAGGGGTATGGAGGTCTTCAGTAGGTCCCTTAAACTCTCAGCTGGAAGCAAGCGCTGTTTATATGGGGAATTCAGGGTGAGTGGTGAAGGTGGAAGTCTCCAAGGTCTGCTGCTGCCCAGGAGAGTCATAAGTTGCTGCTTCTGCCTGATGAGTTTCAAGATGAAATGCATCAGTGGTTGTTTCACATTAGGAAGGAAATCTTGAAATAGTCTAGCAGTAGTTGAGAGGACTAGGTCAGAAAAAAGAAAAGGCTTCCTGTAACTTGAGGTAATCCATTCTTATTTTTAACATTTAGTGTTAATATTTAATGGCTTGTATTTTCAGCCTACGTTCCTGTTTCTGACTTTCTTACCCTGTGTGGAGAGTGAAATTGCTCTGAGAAAAATTATAAACCCCAAGACCTTAAAAAAGCAGTCTTTGATTTTATATTATTGTGATTTGTGGTACTCAACTTGATGGAAAATACTTGTCTCACTTGTCTAGGACATTTATGTGGCTCCCCATGGAGGTGGTGTTGTCCCTTAGCTGATAGCAGGGGCACATTGCAGAAAGTGAGAGGCAAGAAAATGGCAAGGTTCGAGGTTCAACAAAGTCTGGTGAAGGTCAGAAGACAATCAGGCTAATCAGAGTTTGTTACAGGCTTGCTATAAATGGGCATTTCAATGTGTGTAGTAAGAGATGAGGGAGAATTGGCTGCAGAGAAGCAAGTGCTTTAGTACAGCTGAGTAGAAGGAGTGAAAAGTTGGATATGTAGGATAAGGGAAGTAAGAAGAAGAGTTTATACATTTGTGTTTCAGTGGAAAAAGCATTAAAAAGCAATACACTCATATATTGGTGATGGTGGGAGGAGGTCAAGAAAATCCCCGATTATATCTTTTTTTGCTCATGCAGTATTTGTTTTCAAAGCATAGTAAAGGAAAAGCCCGGAGGAATAGTAAATAAGACCGAAGTATACTAAAATGATTTGCATCAAGATGTGGCTTCACTTTTGCTTGTATCAATGCTTATAAATATGGAATGGGCATGAGTCAACTGGATGGGGCCGGGCTCTTTTTGGTGGTGTGCAGTGACAGAACAAGGGACAAAGAGCACAAACCAGAAAAAAGAAAGTTCCATCTGAACGTGAGAATGGCCTTCTTCACTGCAAGGGTGACAGAGTGCTGAAACAGCTGCCAGAGGAGGTTTTGGAGTCTCCTTCTCAGGAGATATTCAAAACCTGCCTGGACACCTTCCTGTTCCACCTGCTGTAGGGATCTGTTTTAGCAGGAGCTGGGCTGGGTGATCTCCAGAGGTCCAGGTTCCTTCCAGTCCTTCCAATTCTGTTATTCTGTGATCTCTGACTTTACAGAAACACGCAGTCCTTGTTTGCTTATTTAGGCAAGACTTTGTGTGGAGTGCTCTACTAAACAGTTTGTAATACCAGACTCTGGAATTTAATTGAGGTTTCCTACATTAAGCTTTTACATGTCTTCAGCTGTTGTTCCCTTCACCTATAAAATCTGGGCTGTGGAGGCACAACAAGACTTCTGTAATTCTTCTGTCCTAGACCAGTTGTCAGTCACTCAGATTCTCTGTGCTTGAAATTGCAGTAACTGGTCAGTACTACAGAGGCAGATCCTTGCATTGTAGCTTGCTTGGGGAATTACAGTCATGGCCCATTTCTTCTGCCTGTATGACATCTCTGGGAGGGACAGGAAAACTGTAACGATCTTTGTTTGGTATCTATGGGGCTTATGCAGAAGCTGTTCGGCAGTTTCACCAGCAGAAATCTCAGACATGTCTAGATGTAAATGTTGTATTTCATTGCCTCACAAGTACTTCATCTGTTCTCTCAGATTGGCAAAACAGAAAAATAGTCTCACAGAACTCTCCAAATTCAAATTGTAAATACAAAGCCATGCAAAGGAGACATCTCTGCTGGAATTAGGGGTATGCAACCAAAACTGGATATATATTGGCAAGTTAATTAAAATCCCAGCAAGCCCAGGGGGCACCTGGGGTGCTTGTCTTCATAACAGTGACATTGATGTAATACCTCTAGAAATAATGTGTGTCCTCATCCCAGTAGGCTATAAACCTGTAATGAGGCTCACTTGGCACCTCTCTGTACTAGTCTGACACTTCTTTCCTCACAAAACCTAATTTTGCAGTACTCCAAAGCTAAAAAATATATGCATGGGATGGAGGGATGTAGTTTGCTTCAGTTGTATTTGGGTTTATTTTTCTTCTGCCTCATTTCTCTTGTGCAGCCTTTCAGTTACTCTGCTAAATAAAGCAAACCAAAAGCACAGAATGTGGCTCCTGAATAAAAGTACTTCATAAACATGTGGGGTCAGGGTATTCAAAAGCGAGCGAGGCTGGAATTTGAAGCACTTAGTACCCAGCAGCTCCTACTGTGACACTAAGGACAAATCTTCAAAAGAGCTCTTATTCTGATTACTACACAACGGGCTTGAGATGTTTGGAGAATCTAGCCTTAATTGGGTATCAGAATGAGAATTCATGGTGAAAACATAAATTCTCATTACATATTGCAAAGTAGGAGATCTTATACACATGATGAAGACTGCTGCTGTATAGTAGCAAACTGCTAATTGGCATTAAATGTTAATGAAATTAATTCTGCTTCTGTGAGTTTGTTTCTTATAAAACCCCACATTATACACCATCACATTTCATTAGCCCAAACAAATTATATGTCAGTCAGTGAGCACCTGCAGTCATTTCCCTGTGTCTGGCTTTTTTTTTTTTTTTTTTTTTTTTGCTGATGAACCAAATGGCTTGGAAAAAGTAGAGCACACTTGCTTGTTTGTTTCTTAAAGAACAAAAAAAAGGGTCTGCGGCATCTCACTAGCAATTACAGAAGTGGGTGAGGTGGGGTCAGTGATGTCAAAAATCTGGTCAGCACATGAGATCGACTTCTCTGTATGCACAATATGCTATATGTGTTGTTGTTAGGGGGAAAAAATGCTTTAAAAACTATTTAGATTTTTTTGTACGTCTGTTTATTGGATTTGCCTGCAATGAAGTCCTTGTGTATATACTTCATGACACACCAGAAAAGAGGAATTGCAGGAAGCCTCCACTTGAGCAAAATAAATAAATTATAGAATGAATTAGACTATCATGCAAGAATTGAGACAACTAATTTGAGTTAGATTTTTCCAAGGAAGCTAGTGTGCTCATAAGAACTAGGTGATAAAATGCTGAGTTTGTTGAGTAAGCTTTCCCATTTTTTTTGCTCACATTGTACCTGCTAATCAATAATAATTTTCTTAAAAGTCTTTTCTATTCAGAATAACTTGTCAGATACGATCTCTGGCTGCTCCTTGATCTTTGAAAGGCTTGTGAGAGCATTTGATTAAAATCTTGGATAAAGAAATCATTTCTGTTTCCAAACTCAATTGCTGCAAAAAAAATTTGGAGAATACCTTTTGTTTAATGATCCAGAATGAATCTTTTGAAAACATCAAAATGACAGTTTTTGCAAATCTTCACAGAATTTGCAGAAGTTTTATGCCAAAACTAAGGAAAAAAAGATTCAGAGATATTGGATGCATGTTCATCTGTGCCTTTTGGTATTTTTGCCAAGATCAGATGTCATCACTGGGCTAGACTTTTAATTTGTCTCTGTTCTTTGCTTCTGGCTAGTGCAGCAGCACGGAGACCATTTTCAATATGACCAAGGCATTCTCAACAAAGCATGAATGGGATCTGCGCTTTGATCCTGTTCTGCAGGAGGGAAAGAAGCCTACCTGGCATTTGTGACTTCGGTACCAAAGTGGGTACTGTTGCAGAGCTGTGTGTAGCTGCCTGGAACTGAGGATAAGTGTGAGGTGCAGACTAGCAAAACACCTTAGCAAAGATACTCAAATCAAAACCTCTCATGTTTTTCCCTGTGTAATTTTGTCTGATAATACAAAAAGCTTTAAAAGTGAGTCACTTTTCACAATTTAGTTTGCAAACACTTGAGATTTGATGCTGAGCCATGAGTGTATGTATGAGACAAGCACTACTGTATTAAAAGAACTTTATTAGAGATGACCTCAATCCAGAAAGGTACATAGCACCTTTTTCAGTGTGACTCATATCTTTGCATGGGTGCTTCAGAATTAGGACTAGCAAGAAAAAGTAGGCACAGAAAGCATTGTTATTGCAATGGATGTGCAGACATTTTTTCCTCTCACAGATGAAACTGGAGGCTGAAGGCATCTGGTGACAACATATATTTTGCTTTGTTCTGGCAGGCAAGTGAGAATCGGAAGCTGCTGAGTGCTGTGAAGGGCCTGCTGGATGACTTCCGCTCCGAGCTGCGGGACGATGAGCGCGAGCGCCAGGGGCTCCAGCAGCAGTATGCCCTGGACAAGGCAGCTTGGGAGGTGGAAATGACTGAGCTGAAGTGCCATCTGGAACAGGTACTGTCTCATGGCCAGCACCCTGGAAGGATGCTGGAGTCACTTAATGACTCTCTGAGAGTCAGAAGAGCTGCTACATTTATTCATTTTAGCCTGGTGCCTGAAAGCCCCCCTGAAGCCTGGGCAATGCTTTGAGTCATGAGTTGCCTCTTGGGTTCCAGTTGTCCCAGTGTGAGTGCTTGTTAGTAGATACTGGGTAATGTAAGTAAAAATGAAGGAACTGAACCTCTTCTAGCTAAATGTTCTCAGAACAGCTGGCTGGTAATGTATCAGCTACAATAATGAGACTTGCAGGTGCCTGTACTTACTGGCATTTATAGGAGAGAGAATGTCTTGGTGTTGGCATGCTGATAACTATCTCATCACTGTGCCTTGGCACATAAGAACTGCAGTATTTGATGCATGAGAGAAAAGAGTGATTTAATGATTCTGAAGCATTAGGTCAGTTTCATAGTGTTGAACCAGCCAGTCAAATCTACTGTTAGTGATGATTGGTACCCTGCTGAACAGATAGCTCTAGCTCTAAGTTACTATTAGAACTACGTATGTAAAATCTGGGCTGGGTGCTGCAGTGCAGTGAAGATGTACAATTTCTGAAACAAACAAACAACAACAACAAAAATCAGCAAAAAATCCACAGGGGTTCATTTCCAAAGCTGATGGCTTAAGAGCTCTAATTTACCATACTGAAAAAGGGAGGAGTGGGGGAAAGAGTAAATTCAGATCTTGAGAAAAAGATTTGCAATTGCAGAGCTTCTCTGCAGAAGACAGATATAATAAAAATATTTGCTGCTGAGAGGGTGATGTATTTAGGAGGATTTACTGAGCATCCCAGCACTGTCTGGAGACTCACACTGACGCACAGAGCTGAAATGTGAGCACTTATTTTTCTGTACAGGTACTGTAAACTTGTTACCCAGAATGAAGAAAGAAGCTTTCATTTTAGCAGTTTTCTCTCAGTGGATTCAAATTCTTAGTTCAGATCAGCTGCTTCTTTGTGCACGCAAATTTCCAGAGAGCAGGTCACTTGAAAAGAGAAACAAAATCAATCGCCATTTTTGTTCCTCCGGAATAAACCCTGGATGAGAGTTTTACCTTAAACTAAAGATGGCAATGAAGAACAAAAGCTAGAGAAAGTTACTTTGAGAATTAACTGCCAATTTAAAGCTCACATGTTCTGTGAATTATTCACTTCAGGTCTGCCATTTTGGTTGTTGCACAGTGCTGCTCTCCCTGCCCAGGGACAAGATAGATTTATTGCATTCCTTCTGGTGGCTTTGTCAGGCTCTTTGCCATCCCCACTGCTCTACTGGCAATAATCTCTAACGTATGCTAATTACTGAGCTGTGGGTGTTACTTTTTGCATTTTTTTCAAGCAAATGAAAAGAACAAAACTGATCAATATTTAAGACGTAAAACTAACTTCCTCAGCAGATTCCCCAAACTGCATTTATATTTCACAGTAAAAAGAGGTCCCTTATGAAGCAGCAAAGAGAGAGCACATAAATCATAAAAATGTCAGTTGGGATAGTGCTAACAGTGCTCGTGTCCCACTGAGGTCTGTTGTATGTGCTCACAATTACAAGAAAGCAATTAAAAAACGAAACATAAAAAATAGTAATATTATAAACACGAAATACAAATGTTATAAATATGCCATGCCCTCTGTCCTGCCCTCTTACCTCAGCTTCTGCACACCAACCTCAACTGCACTGGCCTGGGCTGGCACAGGGCTGCAGCTCTTTCTGTGATCTCCCTATGCAGCCCATATCACTATTTTTTATATTTATTTTACAAATATAAATACTGTAAGTATGGAATTGACTCAAACTAATTATTATGATTCAAAATATGGGGGTTTTGCTCTTGGTTATATTTGAGATGGGAAGAGCTAGTAAAGAACACCTGAAATATCAGCATTACATATGGTCACATTAACAGACTTTTCTGTTCTTTGCCAACGTGTGGACTAACAGCTTTAGCTGAACAGCCAAGCTTGCCATGGTGTGAGGATAGGAAGGCTTTGCAGGATGTCGTTTTGTCACTTTGATTGGCAGTGATGAAGCAGCAGGCTGTGCAGCACTCCCACCATAGGGGGCTATAGGGCTGTCCAGCCCCTAACAAACCCATAGAGAATCATGGCCTTTCTAGTCTCCACTTTTGTATGCACTGCCACTGTTTTCCACCTTTTTTGAGAAGCAGTAGGTCAATTAGCAAGAGCGTTTTCCTCAAGAGTCACCTCCTAATTAATGGTTACTGACAATGATTTTGCATTTTAATGCTTGAACTCTGTATAGGAAAGAAAGAGCAAAAGGAAGGAAGAAAACTCCTTTGTTACAAAAGCATTGCATACACGAGTTGATAATGTACTGTTCCCTGCTGCTTCTGTGCTTTAGCACTGTATATCATTAAAATAAAAGTCTTGGCTCTCAGAAATGAATGTACATCTTATTTGGCAGAAGGCTCCTTAGGCATTGTTTTTAAGATAAGATAAGATTAAGATAAATAATTAAGATAAATAATGAGGTTGCTCCTAAGCATGGAATCTTGGTAAGTCTGAGCAATAGAGAGTCACAATAATTGTCAGCCCCCAGCTGATGGAAGTGAAAAATCCCAGTATTCTGGGAGCTATGAGCAAACCCAGCACATGTATTGAGAACTGGCACATGAGGACATGGACCCTCACTAGGATTTCAACCAATAATCAAGCTTGGGGATCCTTGAGGGGGAACATAAGCCATGGAGTTATTGGAGAGGCATCCAGCCACCTTACCAGTCAGCAGGTTTAGGACTTAGATTTTCATGCTAAGGAGCCACCGATGGACCCTTCCTCTATGATGTGAGCCCTGCCATAAACACAGAGACAGGACTCCCCAGGAGCATTGTTCTGCCTTCCCCCAACACTGAAAACCACCTTGTGAGTGTAAAGGCATTGCCTCTAACTGGGAAGTGTTCTGTGTCCCAAATCATAGAACAGCAGGAAATTGTTCTCATTTGCCTTGGTTTTGGACTTATCTTTGTACTTATCATATTCTTCTCAAATGGAGCAAGCAGCAAGGCTCTGGTCTAGAGAATGGTCTGACACAGGATAACTGACAATGTTTTGGTAGCTTGGGCAAGGCACTCTGGTACAGCTGGGAATTCCTGGTATTGCTCTTCTGAAGCACATTCTTTCACCTCCTTGCCTTTATTGGCTTTCCTGCTCTTTGCAGGCAGCATGGCCTTGGGAACACTGCCTTTCTTGTTTGCTAGATGAAAGGCTGAGAATTTGCTCAGTAGTGATGAAGAAGTCAGTGTTACAAGGGGAGAAAGAATATAAGTCGAGTTCAACGTTTTGCTATTTATTTTTCTTTTAGATTAAAAAAAAATGGAAGAAGGAATTTGCTTTATAGGGTAATCATACAAACTCTGCTGCAACAGAGCATTTGTTTTATGTACGGGTTTGCTTTTAGTATTTTTGAGCTTCATGCTGGCTAAAGAATTTATTGCAGACATTTGTATGTCTGGCAACTTAGCATGTTAGCTATAGTTACTACTGTAAGTGGCATTATTTCCCAGAAGACAGCAGAGCTGTTTGGTGGAGACCAGGCACTCCAGCCTGGTTGGATTTACTCCAGGCACTCCAGCAGCACCTGCTAAGAGCTCCTATTGCAAGACAAGAAGTCTGTGGGGGTATTAACGGTCCTTGAAAGGTGAATAAACAAGTCCTAAGTAGCTCTTTGTCAGACTTAGATGTCAGAAAACTGTATAGTTTATGTCATTTTAAAGTTTGTTTAGAGTTATGTCATTTCTATTTTGGATTTTATCACATAATATATTATAGTAAGTAATTATTGCCTTTGCTTTACAGACAAGGAATGTAGAAGTAGGGTATACTCCACTAATTCCAAAGGGCAGGAGGGAAGCATTGTGGTTGGCAGCAGAATAATTTTGGGACTGCTGTGGGCAGCCTCCATGCCCTCATCTGCTGGTCAATTCTGCACCCACCTGCTCACCAGTGCCACCAATCAATTAACCCGTTAATCTTTCCAGCTGAATTCCTTCTCTACAACGCTCTTAATATCTTCCGCTTTTTTAAAAGGTTTTCCACACAGTTGATGTTATTTCTTCTGATCTAAGTCTGGTACCTACCTTTTGGTTTGTTTACTGAAGCTTGAGTTCTGGAGTTAATACTGAGTGAAATGCTTCACTGCTGTCAAATTTACCTTCAGGAAGGTTTTACAGGTGTGAACAGTTGCAGACGGAGGCCCGTCAGCATCTAGCATCTGTGCCTGTACAGAATATCACACAGTTGAGTCAAATGTTTTCAGCACCATTCTGGCTCCACAAATTTACACTGCATAAACGGGTTGAGGGAGAGAAGATAGTATAATGTCAACATCCATAGAGTCACAGAATGGTTTTGATTGGGAGGGACTTTAAAGATCATCTAGTTTCAACTCCCTCACCATGGGCAGGGACATCTCTCACTAAATTACGCTGCCCAAAGCCCCATCCAACCTGTCCATAGGGTGCTGCTTTTTTATAATTGATTTTTATGGTTACTTGCTTGGTTTGAAAATAACTGACTTTGGAAATTAGTGGTAGAAGTTGCAGGTATTTAAGATCTCCCTGTAGTGCATGTGATTGTAATAGGCTGTTCTCTGCAGCCCAGCAAATGACTCAAGCAATGGCCTCCCTCCCATTTATTTGGGAAGGATGTTCCAAAGACAAATAAGCTCCACTCCCTAACCCAGTCTGGACTTCTTTGTGCTCATAGAGTTTGAGCTTACATTCTGCTTTGCACAATTTGAAAGTGCTGTCCTCCCCTCTTGCTAAAGGAGCACGTTTCCTAGGAAACCTGCTACCTCTGCCTTTTGAAGACAACTTCAGAGGCAGAAATGAGTTTTTAGTGCTCTTCTCTCTTGGCTGCTTGCAGAGCCAGATCCATCCTGACTCATTTACACATCTACTGAGTTATAAACAAAAGGTCAAGTTTCAGGGATAAATTCTTCCCTCTTTTGAGCTAACACAATGACATTGAGCCCCTTTTTCATTCTGACACAGTCTAGCAGTGGTCCACATTTGCCAGAGAAGCTATGCAATTTCTGACCTTTGAGATTTGTCAGAAACAGAACAAAGCCAAGAGCTAGAAGTACGGGTTGGGTCGGAAACCCCTTTCCAGCACATCATGACTACATTTTCCATTGATCTTATCACTTTGAGACAGCTATCCTGATCTAATTGAGCTGATCCCCCGGCATGAAGTAAAGGAGAAGGAATAGAAGGTATCATCAGCTAACAGTCACATAAATTAATTTAGTTACCGTGATCTGCAGAGATGAGGGGACATGATCTCAGTACATCTCTTTGTGCTGGTCTCTGCTGGGAGGTATGAGGAGGTATATAGAAACACGCTGCTGAAGGCTGTTGTAGGCAGAAAGTCTCTAACACAAATTCCTTTCCTGAGACAGGGTTTTACCTAAGAAAGTTTGATGTCCTAATAACTTTTTGTTTTAATGGCAGCTGGAAGGGAAGAATGAGAGCAGCTTAGCAGAAACAGGCCTCACTTCTGATGCAAAGGGAGCTTTTAAACGGGAAAGAGAGGAGCATAAGAAGCTTCTGGCTGAGACTCACGGTGTGGTGATGGACCTCCGCTGGCAAATCCAGCACAGTGAGAAGAACTGGAACCGAGAAAAAGTGGAACTCCTGGACAGGCTTGATAGAGACCGGCGAGAATGGGAACGCCAAAAGAAAGAGCTGCTCAGGCGAATAGAGCAGGTGAGGAGTCAGCTTTGGAGTTGGGGTTGGCAATGGTTGGCTGCTAGTGTGAGATGTTACACTATTACTGTACTCAGACTAAGGTCAAGGAACGGTTTAAAGGAAAAATGTTTTAAGAAACAGCATAGGAACAATTTTGGTTCCTTGGATACATCAGTGTTTTCCAAGATACAAAACAATTCACATACATACACAAGGGAGTAAAGGGGAAATGCTCATAATCCCTGTAATGCCTATGAGAAATCAGCTCCAGGTTAAAGGCCATTTCCTGCTTCATTTCCATTACCCTGGACAGGCATGGTCACACTGATTCACTGAAGGCTTATGTGCATCTTTTCATGCTTAAACACTCAATCCCACGCACAGGGTTATTCAAGGTTGGATATACAGCTTTCTGCCAGAAAAGTCTGTTCATCTGTGAATTTGCCACCAAAGATACAGCTACTGTAACTATTTGTGAAGAGCTCTGACTGATAACAAATAAGCAGTTTGCAATGCTAAGTATTCGGAAAACAGTTCTGACCTTGGTCACATGAATTTTGTGCACACCTCTGTTATCATTTGCAAATCTGATAATTACATACCTATGCCCTTGTTTTTCACGCCTGTCTGCACTTTCATCTGCTTAGTATTAGAGCTTGATTTGAAAATGTTGATCTAAATTATGCTTAATGGATTTATTATCTGGCTGGAAGCCACACACACCAAAAAAAAAATTAAAAATGGAAAATCAAGTTTAATGATGGAGAAATAATACACCACTTTTGACTGAACTGTGTTCATCTCTGAGTCATGCATTCCAGGAAGAATAAGAAAAACAACTGAGATTGTGGGTGCTCAGTTAACTGAATACTTCCTGTCTTTAGGACATCAAAAATGGAACTGCATCACATTAGTATGCTTGTAGGGAACAGTGCTGCCTGAATGAACTACAAAGTACCTTCTCATGTTAAGCTGATGAAAGCGTGGTGTAACTTCATGACTGGTTTTTGGAAAGGGTTCTTTGTGTCTCATGGTCTCACCCTTGGGCTGCAACAAGAAGAGAAAAGCCACCAGACTATGAATGTTACAAGTACAAGACTAAAACTCATTGTAAGTGATGGCTGTTAAATCCTCAGAGAAGCATTTAAGTGAATGTTGTACTCTACAGGTATTTCTACAGATCTGAGTAGGTGGTGACCAATATGAAAGCTTTACAAACCAAGAAAGATTATTTTTGTTTCTTCAAAATATCAGTAAGTGATATGCTGTTCATCCGAGAGAGTTTTTGAGAATACTTCACACTGCTTTGTGAACTAGCCCTTACAATGCCTTATGATGCAGACATTTAGTATGTCTCTTAAGATAAAATAACTGATGTACATGAGCTAAGAAGGGGTGTAGCTGAGCTCTTCATCAGTCATCTTGTTCCCAGATTTCACTGGCTGAGATCTCCCTGTTTAACTAGGCTGACTTCTAATGTTGAATTTCTGTGGATGCTTCATGCAAAATGAGAACTAAGTGATTGTTAAAAAATTTCCCAGTATACTAAGGGCATGGGTATACACTTTTGCTTAGAGTCACCGGTACTTCTTTGGATGTTTATCCTGCTGTCTCTGTGAAGTGTATTTTTTAATATGATCTCTTCACTGTCTCCTCAGTAGCCTGAGGGAGTTAACCTTATTCAAGACTGCCTAGTCTACTCCCTGGGAATGAGGCACATTGAAGGGAGAAGAGAAATCCCTGCTAATGGTACCTAGCCTTTAATTTTCTTCAAACCTGACATAACCTCTCAGTGTCATCTTGAGAGAGTCTGCAAAATAGATCTTAACTAACCCTGGAGCTGATTTCTTCTCTTACTATTCTGAATCTTCTGGAGTCTCACTATATATTTACCATGCAAGAGTGGTACACAATATTAGCAATAGATATGAAAATTAAAAATATTATGTCAAGCTAATTTCAGAGGATGAGATGACCAGAAATAGCACTTGAGATCTTGGCTATCTGCCTGCAAAACTTCATAATCCCATTTTTGCTTATAATCAAACATTTCCCCGTGTGACAGGAAGCTTCCAAATATTTGCAGGCTTTTGCTGAATATCCTCTCAGATTGCAGTCATGCCCTGCTTTGTGCAGGAGCAATTAGTATTTCTCTGAAGTCCTTCTCAGTGTTTTTCTGTGTTTATTCCATGTATGGCAATACTTGGAGGATGAGGAGACTACACCAGTGTGTATATTTGAACAGAGTCTAAGAGATAACTGAAGCATGTGTGCCAAATTTCCTACTAATGCTTTATGCCTGTCTGCTTTAACATAGCTGATGAATAATGCAAGTATGATGAGAGAGAAGCTCACATCAATGTATAAAATATATCAAATACTTTACTCTGCAGAGTTACCGGAATACCACTTGCATATAAAAAAACATGATGACCTACTTCTTTCTGAGCTCAGACTTTTATATTTATATTTTCAAGTTCACTGTCATTTGTTTTTCCTTAGTGAATCTCCCTCCACTGTGCTCCTAAACCTAACTCTGCACAGATCTCACCAATAAATATTTAAAACTACAAGGATGGTGGTTTACTCCAGGATCTCTTGAGATACACCCTCCAGACCTACCTTTATAGGACATCTTAAATTAGCTCCTTTTAATAAAACACTTTCAGATTTTTTGAATAATAAGCAAAACACAAAGATACACTCACATTTTTGCGCGAGTTCCGCAATTTGGGACCTGGCCTAAAATCTGCATTTGATCTGTGTTAGGCAGTGTGATGCTGCTTTATTTTTTCTATGTGAATACAGTACCAGAAGAGGTTTAGGTTAGACTTAAGGAAGAACTTCTTCTCTCAGAGAGTGGTCAGGCACTGGAATGGCCTGCCAAGGGAGGTGGTGGAGTCGCCATCTCTGGCAGTGTTCAAGAGGCGTCTGGACGAGGAGCTGCGAGATATGGTTTAGTAGCTTGTGGTAGCAGTGGCAGTGTGAAGACGGTTGGACTAGATGATCTCATAAGTCGTTTCCAACCTTGTGATTCTATGATTCTGTGAATATTAGAAGACTGTTTTGTAGGTCTTCAGTCCCCGAAAACCTAGGAAATGAGTTGCATTTGCAGGTTATTCTCAGTAACCTTAGCAGGTTGCTCTAGCAAATCATGGGAATTTTGTATCAGATTCTTGCTGTCATTCATTGTGTTTGAATGTATCATTCACCTCATCCACTTTAAATTGTGTTTACAATTAGAGCAAAAGTTGATCATATAACCCAATTCTAACATTGATGCAAGTTCAATATCAATAGGGATTGGTCCTCTCTTCATCCAGTTTTTGCAAATTGTAAAGTAAATAACTTTGATAGTCCTTCTATAAATATGTATTTTCTTTAAAAATGCTTTACATGCCTAATTCATCCCTTTAAAAATTTGATATTCTTAGAAACAGTCAACTTTCTAGTTGTGTATTAGGAGTAGACTATCTCTAAAACAAAACTTTTGCCTTTTGTTAAGAGAGATTTTCCACCTCTGTAAACAAGATGAGTGGTGTACATGAAAGTGCAAGTCTTATATTGCTTATCAGAGGAAAATTTGTTTTTGTTTTGATTACACTCAAAGTCACTCACTCGTATTTGGGCTTTTACTTGTTCTACATTATGATCTCATATCAAGATTGCATTTAAATAACAGTGTTGAGTTGATTTGTTCCTTTAAAAATTGGATTACAGGTAGATGCATGATTTTGTGTGCATTTATGCAGTGTATATATGTATATGTAGGTATATATGTTGGTGGCATATATGTAAAGCAAGATGTCTGTAAATAATCAAAAGTAAATATGTATTTAATCATTTGTGAGTAATAGCATCAAAGTCCTAGGTCCATCTCCCATTGGAAAAAGACCAAGGGAGCAAAGCCAGCATGCCTGGAGCCATGATCTCAGCCAGCCCTCCAGCTCTCTGCATTGCCTTGCTCCTGGGGAAGGATAAGAAATGTGGAGTGGCATACGTTGCATGAATAATTGCTGTTCCTTCCAATCTGCTTTGTTCCCAGCTTCAGAAAGAAGTGAGCCCACGAAGAGGAGGGGGCTTTCTATGTGACCAGAAGGAGAGTAACCTTCGTCCATTTACGACCCAGGGGAACCTTCATATGCCCCGTCCGATGGGATCAAGATCCTACTCTGACTCGGATGCCATTCAGTTTGATGACCGGTCACTGTCCAAGCTGAAGGAGAGCGATCGGTGCAGCGCCACAGAGAACCTCTTCCTGGAGTCACTGTCTCTTGATTCCCCCGATGAGTCGGAGGAGCATCGCTCCCGGCAGCTGGAGCGAGAGAAATTTGTGACCGGATTAACAGAAGTACGCGCACTTCTAACTTTTGTCAAGCCTGCCTGTTGTCTTGTGTCAGAATTGGTATCACACTCCTGCTCTCAAAAATGAAACGCTATGTCTCGGTCACTGCTCGCAGTTACTCAGTAGGGAATTTATAACAAATGGGGTTTGTTCCTTGTTAGGAGCCGTTCAGACGGTGTATATAATGTGAGAAACGGAGAGCCGATCTAAAGGCCCCAAAGATTATATCATCTGGTGACCATTCATATTATGTTCAATAACTATATTAGATGCATCATGTTGGCCCAGAAAGTCTTAAATCATCTCATCCAGTTGTAAATACGTGTATAACTAGGAGGAAGCACGGGCTATACACTGCTAGTAAAACTTGAAGTGCTACAGAGAGCTACTTCAGGCTCCTCCATTGTGGCTGCCTCCTAAGTAGGTTAGTGGGAGGAAGTGAGATGAGATGTTGTAAAAATAGAAGTACTCATCATCAGCAAAGTATCTGACCTCAGTTTGCACCGAAAAGCTGCAGAGATCCAAAACGCAGTGCTAAGAGATGCTGTTGGACCATAGAGAATGTATCAGAGAACTCATAGAATCATCAAGGCTGGAAAAGACCTCCAAGATCATCCAGTCCAGCCGTTCACCTACCACTAATATTTCCTCACTAAACCATGTCCCTTAGGACAACATCTAAACAGAATGTAGTCTGTGTCCTGCTAAAATCTACTCCACAGCACTCTTAGTCTCACTGGATTCAGGTCTTCACAGTTTTGTCAGATATTTAGCCTGTGCTCTGAGCACATTAGAGCTTGAGTTGGACACATTTATAGCTAACAGGGAAGCAGGAGCTTTCCAGTAAAAAATACATCTGCATACTCAGGCTTGAAAATTTGACCACTGTGGAAATAAGTCTGTCAGCAGGTCAGATGTCAGATTCCCTGCAAGACTGATAAAGTTTCACCAGTGTGTCTTGACTAGAACGTGGAAGCCTGCAAAAACTTGACCAAAGCATTTATTTGATATGCATAGCATTGTTCCTTAGCTAAAGGACTGGGACATCAGGTTCTCTGAGAGAAAAAACAAACAAACGAAAAAAAGATTAAGAACGGCAAGGAGTGTGGCTGCAGTTCTTACATTTTGGGTAGCTGGCGCTGCATATACATTCCAATTAGATTTTCCTCCCTCCAGTAGCATAAAATTTTGGGGAGCAGCGTGGGATTCTGTATTTTTTTTATCTCTCAGCTGATTATTTCAAGTGCTCTGTGTAAAACGATACCACTGTCATTTCCTGTTTCATTCTGATTGCCATTTTCTTTACTTTCAATTCAGCCTGGTAGTTAAGAACAGAAACCTCTCCAGATGATTTCCATTTTCAGACGTTACCACCACTGACAAAAGCGTTGGCAGCAAAATTAGGTCCTTGGTGATATTTGCATAGCTTCTTCCTTTCAAAGCATACTTTGGTGAAACCTGTGCTAAGTGATTTTGCCTCAGTGGGTTTGTTCAAGCAAAGCTGATTGGAGTTTAATGAATAGCTTTACTAAGGATGCACAGAGGCAATTGCAGCCCGCTGACTGTTCCTCACCACTGTGTTTTCTTTGTGGTACTAATTGTAGCAAAGTCAATCCAGCCTTCAGCCTGATTCTCCATTCATTTAGATCAAATTCACTCTGTAATAGCTGCACTGAAGCCAGCAAATTTATTCCAGACTTATACCAGAGTAAAACGCTTTATTTTTTTCTCTGACTCTGGATAAATACCTTTTTGGATAATTATAAGGAGAAATACACTTCTGTGTTGGCAGTGTACTTGAATTCATGAGCTTGTATAAAAATAATAAGCACTAATACTCTTTTTTATTCCTGATCGTATTTTGTATTTCCTGTTTTGCTAGAAATGTAAACAATTAAAACAATGACTGCAAAGAAGTTGCTTCAGAAGTATCTATTAAAAAAGAAAGAAAAAAAAGCAACAACTAATTGTCACAGAGAAGTAATTGCCATGAAAACATCTTAATGCCATTAGCAAACTGTAGGTGTTCCCCTTATGAAACAAGAAACAGTCTTCCCACGCATTTAATATAGCTATCTTAATGGGTTTCAAATGGTGCCATTTGGTGGTTCCTAAAAAACATATACTGAAATCTTATGTCAAAGGATCACGTTTTATCTCTTATTTCAGCACATCAAGGCCTCTGACATGAAGCAGATTCATTCCATGTATGCATTCACTTACAAATAAGTAGTCCATAACTATACATTGTACACGTGGAAAAAAAGCCATTTGCAGCTTACTTCTATTTGAGTGCCAAGTGGGGAAATTGCAAAATGGAACCTTCAAATGTTGTTTTTTGTTTTTTTTTTTTCCTTAGGTACAGGTTCAAGGCTGTTCCAGATGTAGTGTACAGGCTTTCTGTGCGCAGGCTGTCATTCCTAATGGGATTGACCATTTTGCTGCCTATGTGCAAAGGGAAGAGTATTCTCAGAGGCAATTTAAAATTCCCTATCTGAGAGAAAGCTGCTTTTTAAAGCCAGACATACCTGGTGGAACCACCTAGAATGACAGAACATCCACGAGTGAATGCCACAAATAGGTTCAGAAATGACTTACGCTGTTTGTTTTTGTTTTTCTTCAGGAGGAAGAAACACACAAAGGAAATCTTCAAAGGTGAATAAAACTTGCAGAAAAAAAACAGCAAGCAGTCAGATAACCAGAATTCTGGCTCTCTTGTGCCTAAAGCACAGACCCCAAGCATAGCTGTGCCACCTCCTAATCAGCCAGCAATCCAGATTAATAGATTTAGCCAGGGATTAATTTGTCTCAATATGCTTCTGTTCTGCTCCAATTAACTTGGGCCACATTCAGCTGTGGTGCACAAAGATCAGTGTCTGAAAGTTCACAATGCTGCTTTGTTAGCAGGTAGTACAGACCTGTAGACATAGATACATAGAGGAAAACCATTAGGGAGGAGGACCTGACATACTCCTGCTTGTCCAGGATGTTTTGCTTTGAACTGGTTCTGGTCTGATCTCATGGGTTGAATGCGCATCTGGCCCTAGAGTGCCTTTCTGTAATTTTGGAGAGTATCTTCCAGGTCATTTTTATCCCCAGATGCAAACTAGAGCATCTGAGTAGGAGATTTGCTTCAAAAGTGCTCTCATCCAAAGAGACCTCATCCAAATTTAGAGACCTCATTGAGCTGACTCTCATAACTATACTCATGTTTTTTAAGAAGTCCCATTGAGAAAGATTGTTTTGTTGTTTGATTTTTCCCTATAGCAAGGCAGTAGGGCAACTCAGTCTGTGATTTGTATGAACCGGTGACGTGTGGGAAAGCCAAAAATTCAGTGTTATCATGTAGAGACTCCCTTCTCTCAAAGTACAGCATTCCTGTTAAATGTAACTGCATCTCAGCTGTGTGTCCCGCATCCTGAGCAGTCTCGGGAGTGGGGGTGGACTTGCTGATTTCACAGCAAGTCAGAAATGCTCTGTATTTGCTTTGAAAAGTCTGCTTCATATTGTCATAAAGACTCATTTTCTGTAGACAATTTATTTCTGAAATGCACCCTACTGCTGCATATTTCAGACATTTGCCAAGCAGTAATCCATGAGAAAGCAGTAAATTAAGAAGCATTAATAAACTGTTCAGTTTTTAATAACGCATCAGGAATGCTTTCATTTCACAGCTATTTAAAAAAACAAGAAAAGTGGGTCTAAATGAAAAGAAAGCTAAAGTGGTTTTGTATAGAAGCAGATAGTAAAAGTTGGATTTTCTCAGTCAGTTTTCTGTTGAAAATAGTAGCTCTGTGAGAATTTTCAAGGCTATGAGTGGTACTCTTGTGTTCCTCTCTGCAGGGCAATGTCCGTTTCTTCCATGTCAGAATTCCAGCGCTTAATGGATATTTCTCCATTTCTACCAGAAAAAAACTTGCCTTTATCCAGCAGCAAAGATGACATAACCCCTCCTTTGTCACCTGATGATCTGAAATACATTGAGGATTTCAACAAAAACTGGGATTACAGTAGCACCAGGAATCATGGGGGGGGCACCGAGAAGCCTGCAGAAGGGTGGACAGAATCTGGGAAAGCTGGGAATGATCCTACTCCAGATCCTTTCCAGGCCTCATCGTGGTACCTCACCACCAGCGTCACAATGACAACTAACACCATGACCAGCCCGGAGCACTGCCAGAAGCAGCCCACAAGGAGTCATGGTGTAACTGAAAAGATGGGAGTTCGGATCTTCCACAGCCCACCAGTGGTCCGTAGGTTTGATAACTCAGTGATAACTGGCAGTGAAGGGAAAAGCCAAGTGGAGCCAGACTTCCTGTTTTCTATGACCAAAGCTATGGGGAACGTTGCTGAGGCAAAAGGTCCTTCCTCCGACATGTTTGGAAGATGGTCTTGTGACCTGACCAAACACCATAAGGATTTTCTGGAGAATGGTCTTCATCCCATTGAACGTCCTATTTGCACTACTGTGGGCTTTGCCTCACCCTTGCACAGCTTGGAGATGTCCAAAAACATGAGCGATGATATGAAGGAGGTTGCTTTCTCTGTCCGAAATGCGATACGCTCTAACTCTAATTCAGGAGAGCCTCAGTTTAAGGACACCGCGTGTCAAACCAATGGTATGAGAACAACAGGGACACAGACCACCCAGACCATCAGTGTTGGCTTGCAGACAGAAACCCTGCGCAGTATCACCAGCAGTCCACACAAGTGTCTGACACCAAAGGGGGGGTCCACGCCTGTCTCTTCACCATCCAGAAGCCTGAGAAGCAGGCAAGTGACCCCCGTCATTGAAAAGGTCCAGGCTAAGTTTGAACGCACATGCTGCTCCCCCAAATATGGCTCTCCAAAGCTGCAAAGAAAAATTCTTCCCAAATCAGACCAGCCAAATAACAGGACTTTGCCTGGCACACCTCAGAAAGGATTCAGTGAGTCTGCTTGGGCTCGATCAACTACTACAAGGGAGAGTCCTGTCCATACCACCATCAATGATGGCCTCTCCAGTTTGTTCAACATCATTGACCATAGCCCCATCTTTCATGAGACCTTCCAAAAATGCCCCAGGTCTAGCAGCCGATCCAGGTCAGCAGAACCCAGACCAGAGCTGGGCCCATTGCAGGAGCCATGTACTAATGCCCGTGGCAGATCACCCAGTCCTCTCCGTTTGGGTACAGAGACACAAAAGGAAGATGGGACTGAGGTGACAAGTATCAGGCAGGACTTATCTGCTCCTCCAGGGTATACACTTACAGAAAATGCTGCCAGGATCTTGAATAAGAAACTTTTGGAGCATGCCTTAAAGGAAGAGAGAAGGCTACCTTCACACAGCCCACCAAATCTTAGCAATGACAACAGCACAGGAGAAATTGTCAAAGTAGATCCAGGGTCCATAGAGGTAATGAGTTTGTTTGTTTTTCCTCCTATAGCTAAATGCACTCTCCTTTGATCAAATGCATTATGAATTATCTTACAGTCCTGCCAGTTGTTTACAGTGAATTTCTTAGTCCTGCATGGTACCACCAGCGAATCCCAGTCATGAAACTATTGGATTAGTTTCTGAAGAACTTGTTAAAGAATTGAGTGTCTATCCTGACAGCTTATCAGGCTTGAAAATATCAGTAGAGCTTTATCCTTTACAGGATAAAGATGGTTCTCCCCGAATGACTGGGATAACTGGTTTCAGTTACAAAACGCACCATGCATTACAGATGTTCTAGGGTCTGTAGGTCTGAGAAAATTTCTTTTTTATGCTGGATGGAAAGGTAGGCTCTTTCTCCTACAGAACTGTGGGTGATAGCAAGTTTGCATGAAAAATAGTTACTTCAGTACCCTGAACCAAAACTTCAGGGCCGTCAGCATACCTTTTCTGGATATATCTGAGTAAGTTTGGTTCTGGTCTGTGAATGTGATTAAATGGCATGAATGAATGTGATTAAATAGCATTTGGTATTGATTGTTGCTGCTTCGTCATATTAAAAAAAGAAAAAGAAAAAGAAAAAGAAAAAGAAAAAGAAAAAGAAAAAGAAAAAGAAAAAGAAAAAGAAAAAGAAAAAGAAAAAGAAAAAGAAAAAGAAAAAGAAAAAGAAAAAGATGATAATCAACTAGTCTAAGCACAAACCTACTTAGTGCTTAGGAACTTTTTATTGGTATTTTGTTGTACTGTCACAAGTGTAACAGCCATCCTCTGTCTTAGCAGGTATGCCCAAGAACTGGGGGTCAGATCCTCATTTCTAGTAATGTACTACAGCAGTCAACCAAAAAAGAGGGTGTAATGATGGACAAAGCTCTTTCAGTTACCAAGTTTATGTCTGTTTCTGGCAAACCTTGTGTGTGAGAGAGTTTTGTCCTGAGGAGCACTGCAGAAACTGAATTAGACCCAGCTCTTGCTGGTAGTACAGCATCAGAATGGCACGTCCTGCTGGTCAGTGTGTTCCCCAGATTACAGGCAGGAGAATTCATCCTCTCAGCTCCATGCTATCCCTTTAGCATCCCAACGTTTTTTTGGGACAGCTCCTTCTTGACCCTGGCGATGTCCCAGAATGCTGACCGGGCTTTGCTGGGTCCACTCCCTACCACTCCTGCCTCAGGTAGCCTCAAGGGAAGGTACAGACCCCATTTCCAATATCAACATTTGAGATGGAGGATTTGTGGAAACTTGAGTGCTGAGGCTTTTGTTCTGCGTTTTGCCTTGTACAAGCAACTTCCTTGTAATGGACATGATCAACAGATCATTTGTAGGTGCTGTTGAGGGGACACAATCTTTTTTGCCTAACAGAGCATCCAAAGTTGAGGATATATTCCCTATGTTTAAACAGATGTCAATAAGGAATTTTGTACGTTTAAAAAAAAAAACCACAAGCACATTTTAAGTAATGATGGACGAAAGTAAGCTTTGTGAACAAACCTCAGAATGAACTAAAGCCTCATTTATTTCACTCTTTCTCACTATGTATGTACTTTGTTGTTTGAAATACCGAGAACATACAATTCCTTATTAGAAAGTACATGCTTTACTCTTACAGCTTCAACTCAGCTTTGCCTTCCAGGCATCACTGAAAACTCTTGATTTCCTCCTGCATCTTTTAAATGTCTCAGCAGATCTCAAATATAAATAAATGGATGTCATCCCACACCACCACAAATTGCTGCTGGCAAAATACAACCAGCGTCAGTACCTGAGTTTGATGCATGGAGAGATTTACGTCAATGCTGTTTAGTAAAATCTCACTGACCATCAGCCTGGCAAAAATTTGCCCTTGTTTGTGAATTCTCAGTATCTTCTGCCTAATTTTTTGAGTTCCAAGCCTCAGAGCTAAGCTTGGCTCTTCCTTGCAACTCTCACCTAGATGTTATGACTGCTGTCTGGATGCAGAGGTGCATTGAAAAGGAAGGTGATGGGCAGTCACACAATAGGTTCACCTTTTCCTATGTGAGTTGATGCTTTACAATATACTCTTAATGAAGTGTGGGTTCACTGCTGCAAACAATACCGCGAATGCCTTTAGACTTTGCACATACCTTGGGTTACTTCTGTATTATCCTGCCCACATAAATCATACTTTACAAAAAATTGCACATAGCACACAGTGATCAAGGAGGAGGCAGGCTGTGCTTGGGGCAGCCCCAATGTCAGTGCTGCCTTTGCCATCCTCCTACAGATCCCTGCACAGCTTCTCTATCACCTGTTTGCTTCTGGCCAAGAAGCTTCTCGCCTTCTTTTTTTCTGCAGTCATAGCATGGTATATTGATGACTTTTAAACTTGCATGGAGCACCTCTTGGTGATTTTTTCTTAATTTGAGCTTCTGGATGCTTTAGTTACGCAATTAACTTTTATATTACTGGTGCAATGTGAAGTCTAGTTCATGTGTATATTTATACATTCACATACATATGTATGTATGCATGTGAGTGTATATGCATACATAACAATAATAAGTATTTTCTGACTTGCCCAGAGCTGCTTACAAATAAATTCTTATCAAGCCTAGCCTAGAAGTCTCTTACCCTGCTAATTCACCAAACCACCATCTTACTTGCATATCATGGAATTTTACAAATATTACCATTTAAAAATGCAGAATAATTTTCCTTAACTAACAACATAGAAGCAGCATGAGTGTTCTTCTCCTCTGAATAACAAGGGCATAAATGACAGAGGTGACATGCCTGTCCCAGTCAGAGGGCTCAAACCTATTTCTGAAGACAGCGCTGCAGAAGGACCATTCCCAAGGATCCACGTAGAGGGCGGAGCAGTGGCCACGCACTTGCTACTGAACGGCTCAGCATTGGAAGGGGAATGTTGCAGAGAAAGGGAGGTGATGCCAGGATTAAAGAGCTTTTGCTCTGTCTGAGTCTCTCTCCCAGAGTCACTGTTAAATAGGAACAGGAAAGAAGTCCAAGGAAAGAGCTGTCATGAAACTTTCAGAGAGGATTCTGAGCAACATAAGTGGGTTTTTTGCTTTTTAAAGATTTTCTAAGCAGAAATTCTCTCTCAAAATCAGACGAAGGAAGAAAAGACATAGCTTTATTCCTATTTCGTGGTAACATCATTTTTCCCATAGCCTTAGTCAAGGTTGGCAAACAATAACGGATGTCTTTCTCTGCTGAGTAGAAATGTTTGGATTGTTTAATGCTCTGTCCTTATTGTAAAGGGTTGGTGTGTTCGCTTCCTTCCTTTCTGAATCTTTTTCTGCTGGTGGCTTATCCTTTACTTTTATTATTAGTTTCCCTCTGGTGCAGCGGTAACATGATCTGAATGGGTGGTAACATCTGGAGACTTCTTTGCTGGCATTAAACCCTCTCTTAAGAAAAAAAAATATATTGATTAAAACAGTTCTTTCCAACCTACTTGCTTTCTTTTTCTTTTCTGTCTGTTCTGTCCAGAACCAAACTGTCTTATTAACTGCCCCCTGGGGACTCTAACCCTGCCTGCCTCACTGCTGTAAGTTCTTTCTACCTTGTTTCCACAACTTTCTGAAAGTGGTCACTTTGAACAAGTGTGGTATTGAAAGGAAATAAATGACCCCAGCCACAGTGGTGCTCACCTGACATCTCCGTGTAGTCCTTTGTACAAAATGGTCTGTGAGTGCTCAGAATGGAAACCCGAGCTGCTGCCTCCTGTAGTAGCACGGGCTGGAAGTGTGCATGGTCATGGAGAAGTGACACAGGTCAGAATTTTGCGTGGTTGGGTTTTTGTTTTAGGTTGGTTTTTTTTTTTCCTTTTTTTTTTTTTTTATCACTTCACACTCCTGCGTGCGGCTTCTGGCTGCTGTGTTCCCTTAGGCTGTATCTGTAGCAGCAGTTAGAGAGGGCTGGGGAGGGGGTCATCATTAAGCTGCTTCCAGTTTTGGCCAGTGCCAGGTGGCTGTCTGGACCATTCACTCAGCCTCAGAGCCAGAAAATTGCCTGTTCTATGTATTTATTCTTGTAGGCATAGCCATAGTGGCTGGCAGCCTGACCTGGAAAATAGCTACAAACTAAGACTGAAACCTTCTTTCCCAAATCCAGGCTAAGAGGTGCTGCTTCTCCACCCACTCCTCAAGTAACCATCAAAGTAAATCACCCCTAGGATGTCAGATTTTTTCAACATCACTAGCTTTTGCAGCTGTACATGTTAAGGGAGGACATTTGGGATTTCAAAAACCACTCCTGATAGTTCCCTTTAGATGGCTTGATTTCCTTAATACACTCTGAGAAAGTTAGCATCTGCCCTTGAGTTCTGCTTGGCATCCAACATGATACCTACAGTATTGGGCTGCCAGCCCCTCCTCTGCAAGCTGGCAGTGTAGCATGGTGTTGTGCTGGGCAAGTGCATGGCACCAATAAGATAGGATGAGCCTAATCCTGCCATTCTGAACAAGCTGGCCAACATCTGTGGGTATGCTCCATCCTTGGAGGTGTTCAAGGCCAGGTTGGATGGGGCTTTGTGCAGCCTGATCTAGTGGGAGGTGCCCCTGCCCATGACAGGTGGTTGGGACTGGGTGTCCTTAAGGTCCCTTCCAGCCCAAACCATTCCATGCTTTAAAAACACTTACCAACTGGGTGGCAGCAGTGGAAATAAATATTGTTATCACACTGCTGACTCCCATTTACTGCCGTGAAACCAGGATAGAGCAGCTAGAAGCAAGCAGCACTATAAAGATGCCATTTTAAGCTTCTGGTTAGAGGGAGTCAAAGGCAAAACCCACAAATTACACAGCCTGGATTTATCATGTTGCATGGCCAGTAGGAACGGCTATGCATACAGATTCCAAAAATGAGTGGCAGCTCTCAGAGCCCAGGTGTGATGAGATAGGGTGAAATAAGGACACGGAGTCAGATTTCTCCTTAGCACTGGTTTATGTTTCAGTGAGGGCCATGTCTGCACTCGCAGCACAGGGCTGGGGGAAGAGTGCAGTGATGGTGTGGGCCCGAAGCCATGGCCTAGCGCCCGCCCGGTGCTCCTGCTGCCCAGCACTGAGGGCTGACGGGCACGGCTCTGCCTGGCAATGGGCTGCAGCTGAGCTGGTCGCATATTGCTCAAAGACGCTGAGCTCTGGCCCTTCGCAGAGGCTTTCCTGCCCCAGTTCTCTGAGGCACTCTCCACAGACTGCACACACCTGCACAGGCTCCATTTCCAGTACTACTGCTCCATGTCTTTGAAATCAGTCTCTCTGTCATGTAACATCCCAACCCAACAGAGATGTTCGATGGCATATCACCGTGTTTGTTCACTGCCCATCACATCATGTTACCTAACCCAACATTCTCCATTCCCTTCTCTGTTTGAAATTCTGTAGTGAGTCTGCTGCTTCTGACTGTGTTGTTTTACTGCTCCCTTGGCTTCCCTTTGGCTTACTGTGCCAGAGCTTGTCTTTCGCATTGTATCACTCCTGATCTCTCTCTTCATTTACCACCAGCTTGTATTCTGTTTTATAGACTGATATTTATTTAACTCTCTTCAATGTATGCAGATCTGTAGATTGACAGACTCCTCTGACTTGTTTTGATAAATGCAGAAGTATGCAGAGAAATTCAGAATTTTTACTTTACAAGCCAAGCTTGCTCCCACAGTCAGTCACCTTGATGCAGTGAGAACAGTCAGGCAGGTAGCCTGGCTGTGCAGTTAGCAGAGCCCATAAATACAAGAAGCAATTATCAACCTATTGCCAGGGTTAAAAATGACAAGTGCATATGATTTCTAGTAGGACAGGTAGCCTGAATGGTGGAAAACTGGTGGAGAAATAGAATTTCAATTTTCCTCCATTCCTGTAATTCAAGCAAAAACAGCTGGCAGTGAGGAGTGATGTTCCAGAAGTTGAAATCTATAGAGGTAAGCCTCATCCTTAATCCAGCTGAAGGTGGTGACAGCTGGTTCTATAGTTGTTATTATTCTACTAAGAAGTCTTTCCTGCATGTGAGTCTGAAATCTGAGGCAGAAAGGAGTCAGTAGTTGTTTTTCACCTCACTTCCAGTTGCCAGACCTGGCCTACACTTGGAGCAATGCAATGAGTATAATGCATTATCATGATATTATCATGCAAATGTATTTTTCTAGCTCAAAGAGAATTAGTAAATGGCAGCTTGTCAGCTACTTCAGTTCATCCCAGATCTCTTTCTTTCATTCTCTCCTTATCTGTTCCATAAATCATGGACATGTACACAAATATCGGAGCCCATGCACAGAAAGATGTTCACTGCTTGCTTTTGTCCTGTGACATGACAGATGCTTAGCTTTAGCTTGAATTCTACTTATTTTTTAATTCTTTACACATCCAGGTGGCCTCTAATACTAGTCACTAACCACTGTTTTGCTCTTTTGGCTGCCAAGGAACTGCCTTGTTCTGCACTAGCCCCATCCCTTGAACCCTGCTTCTCCCGGCCAGAGAGACCAGCGAACCGGCGCCCACCATCCCGATGGGCTTCACATTCCCCTACTGCCTCACAGTCACAGTCAACCGGAGACCTGACTTCCTCAAAGGAAAGTGGAGGCAAGGAGCCGCCAGCGGAGGCTGTGAGCCAGGGAGACCAGTCGGCGTGAGCGGCTGCAGGCACTGCGCCGGGGCTGGCCTCTGCAGGGGGCCTGACGGAGGAGTCCCGTAGTGGAGGTCAAAGAATGTTCTCAAACGCAGCTGCTGAATGTCCGACCCCTGAAACCGAGGTGTTTCTAGAATGAAACAGTTAATGTGCCTGTAATAACTTAATTTTTTTTCATAGCTGAGAAAACTATTTTTGTCTCCATCTTTTCTACATACAGTATATTAACAAAAAAAAAAAAAAAAAAGGTAAAAATGATATAAAGTAAGATTTAAAATAAAATGTAAATTAAGTTTTAAGGGAATTTGAATACGTGCTCACGCTCTCTCCAAATACTGACTGCCTTTCGGTTATATTTGCACTGTTATTTTTTCAGTTTCAGTTTGGGTTTTTTGGGTTGTTTTCGTTTTTGTTTTTGTCATGTGAAACTAGAGTCTTAAGTTAATTTTATTCTATTTTAATGTCAGTGTTATCAGTTTTTAAATGTAAGTTTCTTAAAGGTGCTTCGACTGTCTGAAGCAATACCTTTTAAGTAGCGAAGAAAGCCATTAAGCTAGTTCACTAGAATTGTATTAGCTGAAATGGAGGGGAATACAGGTAAACACAAGAAAAAGTGTAAAAAAGAATGCCTCAGAAAGTCGTATGGCGTTAGCTGTAAAATACACCTACGATACTTGACTTGCATGCCTCTGGGTCCTTGCACTTTAGTGCATGTACATACTGCTACTGTACTTCTGCCGTCACATAAACGTGAGTCCATCTGTTCCACTGTAATATTGTCGTGAGTTTACCTGTACTGTACTTTTATTGTTGATATTCTTGCATTGACTATACAAAAGGAGTTTTTAAATTATTGTTAGCAGTTCAACTGGCTATGTACAGTGTTTACTGAGAACTTCTTTCATTTTGGGAAAACCATTGAGAACTCTGGGCATACCAACTTGTAACTGGCCTTGTTTAGGAGTCTGTCGGAGATCATGTGGAGTGGAAATAAAACCCTCAGTATTTACAAGTTGCTTGAGTGCTTCATGGTGTTTATTTCTGATGGTACTTCCAAAGTTCATTTTACTTAGGAGAAGCAGCTCCCAAACTCTGCCTTTATTCATAGGGGAAGAAAATGTGTCTTTATCCTGTTCCAGTCAGGATGAGAGATAATGGCTTCAAGTTGCACCAGACGAGGTGCAGGCTGGATATCAGGAAAAAAATTCTTCTCAGAAAGAATGGCACAGACTTCTTGGGGAGGTGGTGGGATCACCTTTCCTGGAGGTGTTCAATAACTGTGTGGATATGGCACTGAGGGCTGTTCCAACCTTAATGCTTCTATGACAGGAAATAAACCATGGCAAAGCCAAATGTCCTGTGCTCCAGAGACTCATGCAAGTACTGGATTGGGCCATGGGAAGATCTCCAAATTTCCTCACTGAACTCTGCATAATAGCTTGCTCATTGAGATAGCAGGGCTTATCTCCTCAATCCCTCTTGAGGTGATACAGCTTGTTGCTTTCTGTCATTCATGTGAATGAGAAACAGCCAGCTTAATGAGGTATCAAAAACCTCTGTCTAATCATAGTGCAAATTTGTGTCATGTCCACGTTGGGCTTGCATAAAACAGGTGGCTAGCACTGGGAACTAAGTGCCCTCCTAAGAGGGGGAACCTCCCTGTCACCATCTGTTTGGCCATGCACTTTCTCTGGGAGCCTCAGGTCTGCTCTGACTAGTTATCTCAGGGCCAAAGTGGCTCATTCCCACTTGATTTCCCTTGCCAAGGCTTTCTGATGCTTGTTTACTTAAGAGCACCATCTGGGATCCCTAGAAGCCTTCCTCGTTAGCTCTGCTGAGCGTTAAGTCTCTCTCATCCTGTCCTGCTGCTGGCTTTCTAGGAACTTTAATTCAGCTGTTAGATGAGAGCAAACCCCAGCTCTTGGGTCAGCTCCCAAGCTCCACCTGCTTGAGGTCTTATTTCTGCCACAAGTTAGGTCTGTGGCTATTAAGCCGAAATTGAGATGTCCACCTCAGGGTTATCATTATGAAAATTGCTGCTTACTGAGACCCACAGTGACTGAAAAGTCCTATTGTCTGGTGCTCCTGTCAAATGAAGCAGTGTCCAGTGCTGCTCATGGGTAGCAATGCTTCTATCATGTGCAAATTACCTGCACAGATATTGCAAGCCCTTGCTGTTAATATTTTTCATTGGCCTCCCCAGAAGTCTGAATCCTTAAAATCATACACAGAGTCCACCTCACTTATTTTTCCAGTGCTTGAAAATCTTGTGGCTGCAGCACTTTCATGACTTGTTGCCAAAATTTCAGTTTGGGCAGGGAAAGAGGAGCATGCACAGGAGCTGCTCAGAAGGTCAAAGTAGAGTCGCAGTAGTTATTAAAGAAGGCTTAAACCACAAATGAAAGATTCTTGTTTATTTCCAAAATCTTAATTACCAGCAGCAGCTTTGAAGGCAGAGAGGGAGGATTCACTGCTCCCTTAAAAGCTGTTTTTCCTGCATGAATCAAGTTAGGAGTTGCAAATGAACAAGCAATGCGAGACACCAGCGAGCAGAAATGCTGTTCTGCTTTTTGTGACAGCTGTAATTCTTTTTAATTTCAGGTGGCTGATGTGTAGCTTTAAGACCAGGAAATGACATTTGCCTTTCAAATCAAGGATATGCCAGCCTGGAGAATTAGCTACTTGCCAGTCTGAAATAGGAAGGGATATGGGGATAAGCAGCTACCTGTGGTTTGTCAGGTAAACTGCTTATGGGACAGCAGGGGTTGCATAGCAGAGCAGAGCAGGAAGGAGGAGGTTAAGCACACGTAAAAATTCTGTGTATGACCTTAAAAAGAATCACATTAATTAAACATAGGTTCCTTTCTAGTCTAATTAGCAACTCCAGTGACATAAAAAATATCTCATGTTTCTACTGGCTCTTTGGAAACGCTAGGGCTTTTATCTTCCCATACTGCTGCTGCTCAGATTGGGGGATTTTTTTCCCTCCCATTACTCCATCACATTCTGTAATTACTAACATAAATCATAACATAAATAATGGGTCTATAGTCCTTCTGAGGTTATTTTAAAAGATTCTAAGACAAAATAGAAAGCCTTTTCAGAAGGTCTGTGGCTCACTCTGTGTCTGTATGGTAGCTGAATTATTACCTCATGAATAATCAGGGCAGGAGAAGCCTTGAAAATTGCCACACAAATTAGTTTAAGGGGATGCGGATGCCTCTGCTATAGATTCTCCTGACAAGGCTGCCAGAGATAGAAATCAAAGAATCACAGAATGTTTTGTATTGGAAGGGACCTCAAAGCCCACCCAGTCCCACCCTGTGCCATGGGTAGCGCTGCCCTCCAGCAGCTCAGCTGCTCAGGGCCCCATCCAACCTGGCCTTGAGCACCTCCAGGGATGGGGCACCACAGCTTCTCTGGGCAGCTGTGTCAGCGCCTCACCATCCTCTGAGTAAAGAATTTCTTCCTAGTGTCTAACTTAAATTTCTCCTCTTTTGTTTTAAGAACCATTCCTCCTTGTCTTATCACACTCAAACTGTGTAAAATGTTGGACTCCCTCCTGTTTGTTAGCTCCCTTCAAGTTCTGGAAGGCCACAGTGATGTTTCCCCAAAGCCTTCTCTTTTCCAAGCTGAACACGCCCAGCTCCCGCAGCCTGGTAGGAGCAGGCATGCATTACCCATCCCAGCACCACTTCCATCTGTGCAGAGGAACCTCCATGTAAACAAGGTATGTATCTTCCCCCCTTACTCTCCCAAATATCTGGAGCCCCCAAGCTGCCTCGTGCTCCTTTTGGAGGTACCACATCTCCTGTTTGCTCCCTGTTCACCTGCTTTGACTTCCTTTGAAGTAAATCACTGCAGCCTCCCAGAGTACTATTAAGCAGCTGAGTACATATAATTTTCATATGAAATGACAGCTAACATCTTTTCAGTCTCCACATACCCCAGCCTGCTTTCTGGAAAGGCTTAATGGCTTTGAGCAAAGTCTGCTTCCCTTCCCTGTTTATCATCTTCTTATCCATCTTGCAGGAGGATGAGACACACTGCCCTCAGGTCTGGGTGAGGGAGATTACTGCACTGCTATTGGTGTCTTTGAATTAAAAAAAAATCAACATCTGTTGCTCAGAATGACCTTTCCTTTTTTTTTTTTTTCCTTAGCAGAGCAGAAATAGGACTTTGCCTTTCATTACTCATTCTTTTCTGGTGCACAAACACCTTCTGGAGGCTCCAACCAATATCAGTATCATCTGAAAAATTGGCAACAGAAATTCTGAGAACACTCAGTGATCAGGGCAAGATTTTTTGGTTGAGAGATGGCATAAATCCAGCAGGACCTCTCCACTTGCAGCTGGCACAAAGGAAGGCACTGCTCCCTGAGGCAGAGGAAGGGCTGGGGTCGCACAGACCCAAGAAGCCCCTCAGACGTCCCTGGTCTGGCAGCCACCAGATGTGGGCTGGAGCTGCAGGAGGTCTCGGGGTGGGTGGCACAAATGCTCCCCTGATTCTCAGCTGGGCACAGGCCCACCATATCCCAAGGCTGGTCTGCAGGTGGTGGACTGAGATCTGAGAAGGGACAAAAAACTGCAAATAGATGGATATCTTAATAAGAAGAAAAAAAGTTGTTTGGATATTGAGTTTTACACGTCTCTTGCTGGCAGTAAGTCTGGCTTAGCAATGTAAGCAGATACCACACTAGGGGAAGAGTGTAGCTAGGCTGTGCAATGTGAATTTTATTGAATGCCAGGACCAGTAAATTTTGTTTTGTCTTGCTAAATCCCAATATTTTTTTAATATACTATAATGGGATTTTTTAATCCCTACAGTAAAACTTTAGATGAGGTTTATACAGAAATAGTCATGGACGCGGATACATCCCTCATTCTGCTGCTGCTTCTCTCCCTGCTGTAATCCCTCTGGGTCAGGCTGCAGCACAGGGAGCTGCTTGCAAGTGGACAAGCTCATCCCAAAGGCACTGCTCAGCTGTCTTGGCCTTCTTGTGTTTGGAACCAAACTGGCCACAAACTGGCTCTGCAAGTAGGCACCATTTTTGGATGCTGAAAAAGTTGGAACTGGTGATACATAGGAGAGGAGTCACCCATAATTTTGTCTACCAAGAACTGCAATGCTAAGTGCTTAGGCAATTAAGAATATAAGTCTCATTGATTCCTTTCTCATGTAAGTGGCTTAGGTAACTTCGATGTATGGGAATTTTTATCACAAGTCTCCTTCCAGTACCTGACCTGTAGGGAGTTTATAAGCAGGAGGGTTTATATGATCTGAGAGTGGTGGGACAAGGGGGAATGGCTTTAAGCTAAAAGTGGGGAGATCTAGGTTAGATGTTAGGAGGAAATTCTCTACTCAGCGAGGTGTCAGGCACTGGCAGAGCTGCCCAGAGAAGCTGTGGTGCCCCATCCCTGGAGGTGCTCAATGCCAAGTTAGATGGGGCCCTGGGCAGCTGAGCTGCTGGGGGGCAGCCCTGCCCATGGCATGGGGTGGGACTGGGTGGGCTTTGAGGTCCCTTCCAACCCAAGCCAGTCTGTGATTCTATTATTCTATTATTCTATTATTCTATAAGTATGACTATGGCTCCAGACTGTTAGTCTTTAAAACATGGACTTGATTCCTAATGTTGTCTTAGAGAAGACATGCATTGTATTGTTCTTTGCTAGATTTTCTGCATACTGCAATGGTAGGACAGGAAAAAATCCACTTTGCATATATGAATGAGAGGAAGAACAATGAAGGCCATGATTTTGTCACAACTATTTCCATGACAAAACCAAAGATTTCTGAGAGGGTATTTTCTTAGTACAATGTCACTGTGTTTTGTCATGGAAATCATATCTTAAGCAAAATCAAAGCCCTGGCTTCACGGATCTCTGTGTTTCCCTCAGTCTGTGATGCTTCTGACAACATCAGAACTTCACAACTTGCACATCATGTTCTGCAGGCTTCTTAAATGTTTTACAAATAGGAATGGATGTGCAGTTAC